TGAATGGCTAAACAAAATGTAATATATACATACAATGAGGTATCATTAAGCCAAAAAAAGGAATTAAGTTATGATATATGCCATAACATCAATGAACCTTGAAAACATTATGCAAAGTGAAATAAGCCAGGCATAAAAGGACAGACACTATATGATTCCACATAAATGAAATATCTAGAATAGGTAAATTCAGAGACAAAAAGTAGATTAGAGATTACCAGAAACTAGGGAGAGAGGAGTAGGGAATTATTGCTTAATGGGTACAAAGTTTCTGTTTCAGGTGATAAGAAAGTTTTGGATATAGATAGTAATGACAGTTGTACAACATTCTGAATGTAATTAATGCCAGTTAACTATATACTTAAAAATGTTAAATGGAATATTTTATGTTATATATATTTTACCATGCAAAACAAGAGCTTAATTTATTAATGTTGATAGTTTTGCCTGTAATTTATAAACTTTTTATTTTTTTAGTGGAAAATGTATTTTTGTTTGTATATATTTAAGTAGCATTCTAATAAAAGTTAATTAAAGCAAAAAAAATATGGTTTCCAGTAAGTATTTAACACCTAAACTTTAGCAACAGATATGATACTCCATTTAATGGCTTTGCATTATCATTGAAATCACACTGCTTAGGTAATCCAACTATCTTAGAAATTTAAAATGTTATAAATGAATTAAAGAGTGAAAGGACAAAAAAAATAACACTTTATACAACTCTATCAATGTACCCTTTTTCTATCTAATCCACTTCTGAGTTTCTCCATATAAAGATTCCAATATTAATACTGTCAAGATCAAATCATCTCCTCAAGCCCTATTAACCTGGTGAAAAAATAAAACGACTCAGCTGTCTGCAATTAGAGGATAATGATGCAACATGTGTCCATCCCAATTCCTCCAAAGTAAATTTATATTCTCTTAGAAGTCAAATTACATTTTTGTGGCCATAGCTGACTCCTGTGTGTGGTTAATTTTAATATAAGGCCATTAAAACCACCTGATTAGTCACATTTTAATTAAGCATCAAAATTCCTGCATCGTGCCAGAAGTTATACATTCAGAACCCCTGACTTCATTTGATTTAAAGACTGGTTAATATCAGCCCTTAATGACCAATATAAACATCATTCCTCAAGACATGAGTAAGATTCACCATTATATGTCCTGAGGAAAATACAGCTTTTGGATTAGTCTCAGAACCAGTTTAAAATTACTGTTTTTTGAACATTCTTTTAGTTCACTAAATAAAAATCTGCCCACAGAATACATGACCTAAGTGTCCATTGGTTTTTATATGTTGCTGTCCCACATCTAGTGAACTTGCAAGGACTTTGACCACCTTTTCCAGTACTGGTAATAGATTTAGGTGACTATATGTTTAGTTCTTCTTTTGATCAATAGCTTGTATTTTATAGGGCAAAGGTATAGGCCATGTCCTTGACAAAACAAATTGGCTCACACAGAAGTGAACCTATAAACCTAGCCTTATTTATAGTATGAACTGAAAAGCCTAGGCTTTTAAAAATTTTAGTATTTAAACAAGATATATTCAAGATAACTCTTTTTTATTTTAAATCTGTAATTCCCAAGGAAATATTTTATTTCTAATATGTGAAATCGTATTAACAGACCACTCTTGGTATAGTTAGATTGTTAAGTTCCTTTAGGGCAAGGATCTCAATTTATCATACCTAATTGGTGCTTACTAGAAAACCATTTTCACTGACGGCATAAAACTTACTATTTACAATTTATCATACCAACTTTTATTTTTATTCATTACCTCTCAAGTAACACTATAACATTTAGAACTTCAAGGTCCTAAAGAAAAGCAATCACTTTTTTAAAACCACCATTTTTAGCTTCTCATCTTCTCTGTAATGGGCACAAAGCCACACTTTACAAAGTATACTACATTCAATTCAAATCAGCAAAAATTTTTGAGGGCACACTTTATGTTTAGCGTACTACTAGTGATATGGAATTAATAAGTCTTATTGTCCTCAAGAAATTTATGTGAAAAGTCAAACCTAGTGTGTATAAGTTAAGAATACAAAAGCAATATATAATCCAATGCTAAAATGAGTTACACATATTAAATGCAAAACTAATGGGATGTTATAAATTTGATATAATTATTTATAAAATTCATAAATGTCTTGTAGATTATGCTGTTTTTCTGAATTTCTGCTTAGTTACTAGTCCTTTAAGAAAATCTACTCTGCACTATTGACAGGAATTAACATGAATATAATTTCTTTCATAATGTATAGAATTTTTAAAAATATCATAAAGAACCCAACATATTTGCTTCTAACAGCTTTCTAATTAAAACTCATATTTCCATTTCCCTCTACCCATAATCATCATTCTGATTTGTGGCTGTCTCGTCTCCACTTAACAGAAGAAACTTTCTTTTCTTTGTGTTGGGCAGAGTACACATCAGTCATTTGGATATGGCTAAAAATGTCCAGACTTTGTTAGTGAGAAAAGAGGTTTAAATGGAAGCAAAAGTCTTGTTTTTTTTTAATTAAAAAAAACTTAAATTGTCTAATCTATCCTTCATGATACATGCAAAAATGTATTAGCACAAAAGAATGAGTGTGTTAAAATCTTCAGAACTGCCTTATGAATAACTACATATAGTAGTTATATACAATAGATATCTACAGCTGGAAGATTGTATGCTACACATGTATCACTGATTTGGATTTTTCGTTGAATGAATAAAAGAACGGAATTAATTCTATACAATGTTTCATCCCATTCATTCGCATAGTTCTATTTGCATATTTTTAAGAATGAAAAAAATAGAACTTCAAAAGTTAATTAACAAATAGATAAACTCATGCAAGTATTTCAATAAATATAATGACATGTAAAGCTTACTTTAGCAATATGTGCATTATACTTTATGTTGTTTTGGTTCAAAGATGAAATAACTAGACCTATTTTTTAAAGAGAATTTTCCTGGATTTTTGTTATAAACACTGTGAAGCAAAGTATGTTTTTACAGGTCTTGAGTTTATGCATAATATGTTTCTGGGATCACAGCCCAAAAGAAAAACATTGCTATTCACTGGGGAATAATATTTAATGGAAAACAAGAAAAAAAATTGGGTATGGAGAGAAGAAAGAAAGAATAAACAAAAAGATTATGGATAAAATGTAAAAGGTCTATGAAAATTTGGAAAAATGTATTTGTGACAAAAATATTAATGCAGTTTATGGTATTTATAGTAAAAACGTACTTGATTTGCTAAGAAAATAATATTCTAAAACTAATGTAGTCAACATCACATGGTAAGTACATTAAACAACATGTAGAATAAGGCTACACATCTTATTTGGCTGCATTTGAAAACTGACTTATTTTCCCCCCAATCTGAAAGCACTCTAAAGTGACCGTACCTATTAAAATGTCTTATTTAGGGAAATTTACTGCAGAAATTCAAACATTCTAAATCTACCTCAATAATGTGTGATAGTCTCAATTCCAGATCTTTAAGAAATTAACTATTTGTTCTGAAAAATTCAGGCATACATGTACCAGATAGTGGCTGAATCAAATAAGCTCTATAATTTGATATAAATAAAGCCACAAAGCAATGATATCACCAAAGAAATAACCTAGTGTGAAAATATTAACTAATTGGATGGGTTCAGACAATGAATTCTGGCTATCTTAAAGAATCCCAATAATACATTAAATTCTTGAATCCTCATTTAAAGTGAGAAACCCATTTCCAGACATATGTGCACAAGTACCTCAGCCTCTTCATGCCTGCTGGCCTGTCCCACAGTCAGAGAGGCAGGATATTTGGTTAAGCATATGTTTATGAATAAAGACAGGAAAATTCCAACTTTAAAACCAAATATTTTCCTTGTTTAATTCTGGTATCTTATTGGTCCATATGCTGCCTCCTCCTCACAGTATGGCACCCTCCTCACAGTATGCTACCAAAAAGCTCCTAGATTTTGACTTGCTCTTAAAGCATAAGGATAACATCAAGCAGACAGAATCGAGGAGTGGAAATACTGTCTGAGAAAGAAGAGCAAAACTGATGATGATCTAAATACACACTGACACACTTGCTGAAGACATTAGGTGCTCCAGAAATGCTTCCTGAAATGCTGTTTAGTGACATGTGTTATGATAAATTCATCTTTCTCTAATTTAAGAATCCTCATGAGTTAACCACAACCAGTTCAGTAGAAGTTAATAGAAAACATCTGGTGGCACTTTTAAATGCTTAAGGCTAGCATTTCACAAACCGTGCCTGTCTCCATGCCACTCACTGCAGCAGGAGAAAATGACACAAACACAGAGAAGCACAGATGAAGAGCAGGAATCCTGACATCATTTGATTATATGGATTTGGTCTTGCCCAAGCCCAGCCCCATGCCGAGATTTTCTACAGAGGACCCAGATGTTCCTTTTTCCCTCTTTGGCTTAAGCTGGCTGGATTTCAGTTTCTATAATTTGCAAACAAGAAAATACTAGTATTGAATGCCTGTCCAGTGCAACAGAAAACCTTGTTTCTGCCTCCATATATTCATATGTAAATATAAAATTCCCATCAATATCCTATTATATTAATTGACCTTGTGGCTGTAACTATCAGAAAAAGAAACAATAAGTTTGAGAAATAACCTCAATCCTTCTTAGAGGGTCATAAAACAAATTATAGAGGTTTTGAGAAGTTATCCAGTAGAGAAATCTCTTTAACTCAGTTGAACTCACCTTTACAAATCATATTTGATTACTGAGTCCTTTTTTAAATGAAGTTTCTACGTCCTTTAGAACTACTAATTGGTAGAGCACAGGGTGGAAAATGCTACTTGGAAACATGGCCATGATTCCTTGGATCTAGGATCTAAGAAACACTGAAAAGGCATTCCTAACTAATATATTTAAAATATATCAGAAGATCACAGGACTCAAATTTGAATGTAAAAGTAGTTCATCTTCTCGAGCAAAACTAACTTACCTGCATTGAAATAAGAATGAAATCAATTAGGCTCCCAATTCCACAAAACCCTACAGTGCAAAACTTTAACAAACCTAGAAAAGAAGGTAAAATCATTTACAACCTGGAAAGTCTTATAAATATTAACAAACTTTTCCATTTCCCAATAAATCATTATATATACCATAAACTCTTTATGTCAAGAATATAAAATTAACACTTAAAAAAATCAAATCTTCACCTGAAAATATGAGAAAAGTTTAAAGGTTCCTCCATATAGAAAAGCCACAACATTTATTAACCCACTTAACAAATAAATATTAGGAACTGAAATAAAAACTCAATGTAATCTTACAAATTTCTTAAAAGAAAAGGCTGAAGGAAATAAATCTTTAAATCTCAGTACACCAGAGTTACAGAATATCTTTAAGTCCTAAAACCCTTGCTTATTTATTAGACTTAATATATTATGTGATCTAAATTTTAATATACAGTTATAGTAGAAAGTCCAAATAAAGACTGTCAAGGCACAGAAAAAATAATCAAGAAAAAACATTGATCCTATAGTTAAATTGCAAAATTTTAATTGTAACCCAATTATCTTGAATTTATCCTACACTTTTTTCCCTAAGCATCTCATGTTTATTAGCTCTACAGTCAAAATATTATTAACAATTCTGTGCACTATATATATACCTCTGTCCTTGGTCTCAACCTTTGAGCTAAGGCACTAAAATAGATGATAACAGAGCATAGAATCTAGGGCATATACAATGATATAACAAAAACATGATGATGAAATTAGAAGAGGCAGATTGGGGGTAAGGGTGGGATGAGTAATCTTTTCTATTTTTAAACTTGAGTTGCTTTCCAGACATCCCATTTGAGATATAAAAATGGTATGAAACAAGACTCTTCGTGAAAGGGTAGTTTTAAGTATCAACTACAAATAAATGCCAGCTAAAATCACAAGAATGGATGAGATCACCTCCTGCACACAATTTGGAAATACACAAATAAGACTGAAATATGTAGGTACGTTAGACTATTTTTTCCCCTTAGTATTACACATACTTGTATGTTGTAATACTAAGAATAATGTTGTAAGTACAGGGATAACAAATGTTGGAAGTAATTTAAAAACTATTAAAATATAGAGATTATATAAAATTATGCTTTTAGTTTTCTTCAAAACACTTACTACCTACTTAATATTTTATATTTAACTGTCTCTCATGGAAGCCCCATTAGTGAAGGGTCTTTTATTTGTTCTATTTACTCCTGTGTCCTTAGTACCTATGACATTCATTGTCTGGCACACGGTAGATGCTCAATAGTTGCTGAATGAATAAATTTTCTCAGCTTTTATGTTTCCTAAAGACCCATAATTTTTTATCCATTAGCTTATATAACTTCTTTAATTATTTTTTAATTAGTTGCATTTTATTATAGTTGCCCAAGGAACTTGATTCACTTATTCAATATATTATATCCATTCACTCATTCAATTGTATTTCTGAAATGTATCTCTCTTCACATAGCATTTTAGTATAAATTTAGAAATATTAGTTTCCCTTCCTTCAATTTTTTTTTCTAAAAAGAATATTGAGAAATGGTCCAAAAAGGTTTGTCTTTCACTGCTACTCAATGAAGAAAACATAACCATGTCAGACCCTGGTCCTTGTCACGCCCTCTTCCAGCGGATGTCTTCCTGTAGCTCTTCTCCTCTCGCGGGCTACTTCAGACAAGTCTTCCTAACCTGCCTGCTAAAGCAACATGCCACTCCCCCACAGCCCAAGGGTCTACCATATCTCCCTATTTATTTCCTTCATGGTACTGATTAGAAATCTATAAGGGCCTCATTCATTCGTTTGCTCATTCATTCTCTGTCTTCTACTGCTAGGTATACTCCTAAAGGCAGGGTCCTTATCTGTCTTATTCAAGTCATTCCTTGATCAGTACCTGACAGACAGTAAGAGTTTGACAAATATGACTATCAAAAACCTAGAAACATGAGATAGCCGAGTGGCGCATTGGTTAAGAGCTGGCTTGGGACGCCAGAGGGCCCCAGTTTGGATCCCACATATGAG